GAGGGGGGGGAGGCCCCCAGCCCTGAGGCAGGCGCCAACCCTTCTCTCTCCTCCCTTCGTTGCCAGGAAAGGTTCTGGGGGGGGACACGGCCCACCGCAGACATGTCTCCAACAAGCGCGTTACTTGTTTAGTGGAAAGCCCAACTCGGCACCAGCCAACGGCGTATCTGCTACTGCCCACCACCTTTGTAATCAACTCCGCTACGGTTTACAAAACACAAGGTGATGGATCATCAGTCCCCTCCAGCTCCTCACGTCAAAGGCTGCCAAGGCACCCAGCAGCACGAAGGCACTTTGCAGGTAGCAGCACATCAGCTCCTTCGGCTATTTCAGCCAGCTCCAATCAAAACTCTGAAAGAAGAAGCAAGGAAACAACTGAAGTGCAGGAAAACAGCCGACTGAATTCACATTTCCAAGGTGGTGACAAAAGGATGCTCAGCATCTCTCTCTTCTCAAAGAATCAAGGACTTGGGGTGCCGGTCAACATCATACTGAGTATGAGCCAGCAGTGTGCCCAGGTGGCCAAGGCAGCCAATGACATCCTAGCCTGTATCAGGAATAGGTGGCCAGCAGGACCAGGGAAGTGACTGTCCCCCTGTACTCGGCACTGGTGAGGCCCCACCTCAGATACTGTGTTCAGTTTTGGGTCCCTCACTTACAAGAAAGACACTGAGGTGCTGGAGCGTGTCCAGAGAAGGGCAATGAAGTTTGTGAGGGGGTCTGGAGCACAAGTCTCATGAGCAGCAGCTGAGGGAACTGGGGGTGTTTGGTCTGGAGAAAAGGAGGCTGAGGGGAGACCTTCTCGCTCTCTACAACTACCTGAAAGGAGGGGGTAGCGAGGCAGGGCGGGGAGCAGGCAGTCAATCAGTCTCTTCTCCCACGGAACAAGTGATAGGACAAGAGGAAATGGCCTCAAGTTGCACCAGGGGAGGTTTACATCGGATATTAGCAAAAATTTCTTCACCAAAAGGGCTATCGAGCATTGGAACAGGCTCCCCAGGGAAGTGGTAGAATCACCATTCCTGGAGGTATTTAAAAGATGGGTAGACGTGGTGCTTAGGGATGTGGTTTAGTGGCAGTTTTGGCAGTGTTAGGTTTATGATTGGACTCGATCTTAAAGGTCCCTTCCAACCTAGACAATTCTGATGTTGATCTAACAGCTGAAAAGCAATCTCACAATTTCACCACACAATTTCACACCGTTTGCCCTGATACAAAATCTCCCCTACTTATTGCAGTGCTCAGGCATGACACAGACTGCACTCGCTTTGGAAATTATATTTTGTACCTGCTCAAAAGCTACCGCCCGGGTTCCTAGTGCACCATGGGACGTACTGGTAGGGCAAGAACACAAATGAAAAAGAAAGGCAGGCTCCAAGTCAAATGCATGCAAGTATAGAGAAAAGGTTCTTATAGTTATTCATTCTTTTTTCCTCTGTTTTTTCCTCCCAAGTGAAATGAAAAGGACAAATCCCATTTTCTGCTGCTTTCCTGTTGCTTAACTTCTGTCCCCTGATGCAAGGAAAAGGGGATGGAAACCAAACACAACAAAACAGGTGCTGATCTGCAGAGCGTGATTCCACAACAATGAATAATCTTTCTGGGCTAAAACATGCCAGAGACAGAAGCTGCAGCTTGGAATGAGATACAGGAGATGACAGAGACGTGGATGATTAAGAGGTAAGAAGCCAGTCATATGGCTTCTCTCTCGTCTCCAGCCACAGCAAGGAGACAAGACAAGAGAGAAGATTGTATTACACAACTGATACCAACCCTGTCGGAACTGAACAAAGACAAACAAAACGTTCATCAGCCAATGGTGAAGACCAGCGTATGCATAACTAAGGCTGTTTTCCTCACTAACATAATTACTTTGCCTTAATCAGTAGCTGATTTCGTTTCCCCATTCATACTGCTCAATCCCTTGCTATTATAGTGTCATCTGCAACTCCCGCTAATAAGTTTTCATTTCACCATCCCAAATAACTGAGTAACTCTAGTAAACACTCGGTTCACTGTTTACTATTATTCATAAACATTAGAACATGAAAAGGTTTGTGAATTAAAATGTTTTTAAGAGCTCCATTTCCTCAACCACCTCCATTTCCTCAACCTTGTTCCTTGTTACTTCTGCATTTACAACTGGTAAACAGCTTCAACTTTTTCATCCCATGGGAATGGAAGTTATCCCTAAAGAGGCCTTTAAGAAGCTTTTTGAAAATCCAAGTTACAGCACATGAGTGGATCTCTGACTTTACAGGGCTGCAATAAATGTGTGAGACATTCTCGTGCTAACAGAAGCTCATCTATTATAAACAGGTCAATCTACATGCCTAATTGTCCTTTTCTGATTATATTTATACAGGTTCTTCTACAATACAGCCCCCCAAATTAGCTGAGAGCCTCTTCTCAAAGACGGGTATTCTGTAGTGCATGTAATTCTCCTGGTAACTGGGCTCTTTTGAGCACTAACTTCCTGGCCTCCATTAGGAGTTCAGGACGAGTTTCAGATTGTGTCGAAATGTCTGGGTTATCATTATTTACTTTTGTCATTTCTTGCTATTTCAAATACCAATTTGTGCAAAGAACCTTCTCAGGACTCTCTAAAGCCCCCCTTCTGCCCTAAGGAGAGCGTCAGTTAACGATCGGGAAAGGGCTCTGTAAATGTAGAACCCTGCTCACTCCGGTGCAGGGACACAAACCAGGACTTTCCCAGTTGAGAACGCAACCAGCGTTCCAAGCAAGCTCTGCCAGCCAGGGGGTCCCACAGAACAGCCCACTCCACCACACACACCGCTCGGCTGACACTAGCGCCAAGTGCTACCTTCCATAACAACCGGCATGTCGGCGGAGTCCAGGAGGGATGACAGACATCACATGCCAGCTACAGTGATTCACATCATCACAAATGACCCCGTTTAAGGGGTTCTCCACACCCCCAGAGGACCCGCCTGCAGCTCTTAAAAATCAGGTCCTCGGAGATACATCAACAGACTTACCATCATGCTGTTGTTCTGCTCCTGTCTTGCCTCCTGCAAAATACTGCTAAAGAGTTCAAGGTAATTCAGATTCTCTTCTATCACATGGACAAAATTTTCCCTGCAGGGAAGGGAAGGCAGAAGATGACGCATTTAAAACACAAAGTAACACCAATGTCAAAAAGCTCTGCCCTGGGGGGATAAAAAAACCAAACAAACAAAACCCAAACAACCCAAAAAAATGATTTATAGTTCTCTGTAGTTGTAGGAGCTACCTTGTACAGCATAAAAACATGCCTTGAGGTGGCATCCTGCAGATCCCCACCCTGGAAGCGTGGATTTGCACTCCTTCCCTACAGAGAAACTGCACAAACCGTGCTGAAACTCAGCCTTTACAGAACCGAGGAAGTGAGATGAGTGCGAGGGGCACGCAATCACTGCCCGCTCCACATAACGTGGAGCTCTTGGCTCTTTGTACAGTGCCTCATACACTGAAGTCCTGATTTGAAGAGGAGCTATGAGGCGATCCAAAAGCACCTTGCTCAGGAAAGCACCTATTAGAAGGCGATCACCCCACATTACTCAGAGGCGAAAATTGCCCCACAGCAGCAGACAGAAAAGAGGAACGGGAAAAGGTTGCTCAGGGTTGCCAAAAAATCAACTGACTTCCAGCAAAAGCCTGCTTAGAAGATGTGTATCTTCAGAACCTAGCCATAACCCTGACCACCCAAAAGAAAGAGATGGCCGAATGGTTTGATGCCAGTGTTCACCAGCCCTGCCCCAGCACCCACAAAACCAGCGCTGCTGCGGCTTGAGGGCTGAGCAGTCCTTGAGGGGCGCCTTCCCTTCTGTTATGCTGACTGGAAGTAAAATTACTAATGAAGCGAAGACTAAAAAAACCCCTCAGCTCCTGACAACTTCCTTACTCAGCGAGGACTGGCTGAGAGAGAGGGCCTTAATAACCAAATCCAACCCTAAGACAGAATAACGTAACATGCAAAAAATGAATAGCACCGTGCTTTAGCTGAAAGTGGTCTGTGGAACTTGCTCAGGACCAGAAAGCGGAGGTTTCTGAATAAAGAATTCAACCTAATTCCTGAATTTTTTTACTGCATTAGTAACATATGAGCTACTGAAACATTTTTTGGAAGGATAAAAAAACCCCAACCAGCAGCTATTGAAGCAGATGGATTGCTTAGTACTGACCCCGACTTCAGCCTCCATTTGAATTAAGAATCTTTAAAATAACTGAAGCTGTAAGAAGCACTAAACATGGCCCGATTTACCTGGGAATTGCACCAGAACCTGGACATGAAAAGAAACTGCATTTTTGGCTCAAAATCTCATTGCTGCACTTTGCTGTGGTATGACCAGAGGTAAGTTACTAAAACTCCAGTCAGGAGTTGAACTATGTTGCCTTCAGAGACAGTCTAACCTTCCAGAACTCTCCCTGCCCAGCATATCCAAAACCCACCACATAGGACGTGGTGAAGACATGCCCCTCAGGCCCCCGCAGCACTGGAGACGCCAGTGGCAGAGGACAGGATTTCAAAGTGCGTGCATGCCAAATAGCCACAGTGACTTCTCTGCAGCGGCTTCCTTTCCAAACGGGTCTTACCCATCTTCAGGAGTTGCCATAGATGACAGAGGGTGAGGTACGTTCCCTGAGGAGCTCTGCGGCAGCCACGTGGCTGCTGGAGTTGAGGCTGTCCCTTCCAGGCTGGAGCTTACCAGCGATCGAGAAGAGCTCTGAGTCTAAAGAAAAAAAAAAAGAAAGAAATTGATCTGCTGTGATGGACAAAGGAAGAATTTAGTCAGGCTTAATTCTTTTGTATGCAAAACTTGCAATTAAACGTAAGCACTATCTGTAACACATACGCACAATGTAGGCCATGCCTGTGGCTGGCAAGTCAGCTGATACAACCCTCCACAGTTTTGCAAATGCCTCTGCATGCAAGTCACCTGTGTTGTACGTGGCGTGTCTTCTACACTGAAGAATTAGGAGGCAGTGCCACGTCCTAAACCAAGTCACGCACAGCAGCAACTCTCCTGACGGAGGGAAAGACATACATGTTTCCTATGCTGACCTACGCATGTGGAAATCAGGAGATTGCTTCAGCTGGAGTCCCTGTAACTGATGCAGAAAATGCAGCGTAGTCTTAGAACACCTTAAACTAAGCAGGAAAGGACCCACTTCACTTTTGCAGCACTAATATCACGCTAGGTTTAACACATCAGGCTGAAGTTCGCCTATCCCAGGGCACATAGCATGGGCAACAAACAGAGGCAGTTGGAAGCCACCATGCTGCTAGAAAGATACAACCTAGTTGCCATTACTGAAACCTGGTTGGATGAATTCCATGACTGGAGCGCAGCTATCGTTAGCTACAGGCTGTTCAGAAGGGACAGGCGAGGAAGGAGGGGCAGAGGCATTGCCATCTACATCAAGAAAAAGAATGTGCAGAGCTGTCTCTGAATGCACATGGAGGACAGGGAGGTGATTCGAGACAGCCAGCATAGTTTCACCAAGGGCAAGTCCTGTCTGACCAACCTAGTGGCCTTCTATGATGGAGTGACTGCATCAATGGACAACGGAAGAGCTACAGCTGTCGACTATGTGGACTTCTGTAGGGCCTCTGACATGGTCCCCCACAATACCCTTCTCTCTAAATCGGAGAGATATGGATTTGATGGGTGTACTGCTTGGTGGATGAAGAATTCGTCGGATGGTCGCATCCAGAGGGTAGTGGTCAACAGCTCAATGTCCAGATGGAGATGCATGACAAGTGGTGTCCCTCAGGGGTCTGTACTGGGGCCAGTACTATTCAGTATCTTTGTCAAAGAGACGGACAGAGGGATCGAGTGCACCCCCAGCAAGTTTGCAGATGACACCAAGCTGAGTGGCGTGGCTAACACGCCTCAGGGACGGGATGCCATCCAGAGGGATCTGGACAGGCTTGAGAAGTGGGCCTGTGTGAACCTCACGAGGTTGAACGAGGCCAAGTGCAGGGCCCTGCAGCTGGGTTGGGGTGACCCCTGGTATCAATACAGGCTGGGGGGTGGAGGGATTGAGAGCAGCCCTGCTGAGAAGGACTTGGGGGGACTGGAGGATGAAAAGCTGGTCATGAGCTGGCAATGTGCAATCGCAGCCTAGAAGGCCAACCTTCAAAAACAGCGTAGCCAGCAGGTCAAGGGAGGTGATTGTCCTCCTCTACTCCGCTCTGCTGAGACCCCACCTGCAGGACTGCATCCAGCTCTGGACGTGGACCTGTTGTAGCGGGTCCAGAGGAGGGCCACAAAAATGATCAGACAGCTGGAGCACCTCTGCTGTGAGGAGAGGCTGAGAGAGTTGGGGTTGTTCAGCCTGGAGAAGAGAAGGCTCCGGGGAGACTTTATAGCAGCCTTTCAGTACTTAAAAGGGGCCTACAGGAAAGATGGGGACAAACTTATTAGCAGGACCTGTTGCGATAGGACGAGGGGTAATACCTTTAAACTAAAAGAGGGAAGATTTAGATTAGATATTAGGAAGAAATTTGTTTACAAAGGTGGTGAAAGACTGGAACAGGTTGCCCAGAAAGAGGGTAGATGGAAACATTCAAGGCCAGGTTGGACGGGGCTCTGAGCAACCTAATCTAGTTGAAGATGTCTCTGCTTATTGCAGGGGAGGTTGGACTAGATGACCTTTAAAGTTCCCTTCCAACACAAGCTGTTCTATGATTTGTGTCAAATTTTAGCATCTCAAACTTCCCTTCTCCACAGTAAAAAAAAAAAAATTAAAAAATCAACTATTGTGTGGAAGTTTTCCGTTTTTGGTCTCTTCAGAGTTTCGTTTGATGTCTCCTGGCTCCTCCACTGGAAAAAAGAGCAAACGAATAGTCCAAAAACTACTTACACAAGCAATTTTCAATAAATGCCATATCTCCCTTTGTCTTTTGCCCTGCATCTGCATCACTGAGTTGTCAGCTTCCTTGATGTTATTTAGAGCCACTTCAATCTTCGGAAGCAAGTCAATGATCTTCTGCTTACAGCCCAAGAGCTTGCTGCAATAAAAACCAAACACAAAAGTTACTTTCCTGTTTGTATGGCAATATGTTCTGGCAAAACCAAAAGCCTCCCCTTGGGAATCAAGAAAAAAAAAATCTGTGAGAATATCCCTTTCTCTTAGCACAGCACCACGACAGCTGCAAGACTGGAGGGTCCCCTGGACTTTTCCCAGTCCAGTTAAGACTCAAAAAAAACAGGTAGATGACACTACTGTTAATACCCACAATATATGCTCTTCTTATTTGAAATGCAAAAATTGATCCTGATGACAAGGGACAGCACGGCAACTCAACCGTCATCTTTTTAGTCATCTTCTCTGGTCTGTGTTGGTCTCTGTGCACCGACCATATCACAGCTAACAACTTTCTTTATGGGATCTACTAAGCATAAGCCACACCTGAAAATAACACTAAATCATGCTTTGCCGACTACGGAGACCGGCATACTGACATTTTTTCAGAGCTACTTGAAGAATTAATGAATTAATGAACAAATCACTGTGATATCTGCTCAGCTGTTATGCTATTTCTGTTTTTCCACAAGATTTTTCCGCAAGGTTTTTCCCAACCTCAACATTGGCAGAATTTGTCTCATTTTGAAGTGAACTCTTGGATGCTAACAGTACAAGCCATTGCATTCTCTTCCCCTTCCCTATTAGCTACACACTTTTTAAAAAGTAAGTGGAAAAATCAATGCAAACAGAAAGGAGCGGAATTAATATTGCTATTAGAAACATATACCTGTGGATGGAGCTTTTGGGCTCCGGTCTCCACGGTTTTCGCTCTCCTCTCTGGCTACAAAGCTACAAATGCTGCAAGTTGCATTTGTTTGTTTGGTTTTTTTCCCCCCTGCATAAAGTACCTGAGATGGCCAAACAGCTCCTTGAGAACTCGGTCTTGGCTCTGTACTGTCTGCACGATAATCTTCACCATGTCCGTGCTGTCACTGTAGGCATGATCTGGAAGGGCCATCAATCACCACATTAGTAAAATGTGGCTCCTTCAGCAAGGAGCCACTCCGGACACAAACGCCCAGAGTCAAGAAGGGAGTTGACTTAATGAGTGCAACCAAACAAACTGAAAGACAGTGAAACATGTTAAAGTCTCTCACAATCTCTCAGGAGGCACAGCTTCTCCTCAATGTCTCTTCTCTCCACAGTTAATGTATATAATTCCACCCACTCTTGCTGTCTAGATACTGCCTTCAACAAGGACTGAAGGAAGTTGCCAAATGCACGAGTAACTAAATCTTTCCGCTCACCAGTTACTATGTTCAGAACATAATAACCCCCAAACATGGGGCTCTATCCACTATAATTAAGAGAGACGAGGAGAGGGTTAGAAAAGAGACTGCCCTTGGGTTGGAAGGATGACAGAGGAACATCAGTTCTTCCCATGTCTGGAGGGAGTAAAGCAATAGTACTGGGGGCAAGAAGAAACGTAGAGAATGCCAGAAGGCAGACACGTGCTCAGGGCAGACGCTCCAAGACTGACTGAAAACCAAAAGACAAGCCCATGGCTGAGGAACACGACTACAGAATTTGGGAGAGCTCTAGGCTCAGCAAAAAGAAATCATCTTAAGGTATGCCCTAGGACTCATTAACTTCAATAGAATAATTTGCCTTTTCCTAAATAGTATTTTCTGGGTTTGAGTTCAGAAAAACTGGTCACGGGGTCCGAGTGTGAAACAGTCTTTCAACCATCCCCTTCCATACCTGGAGGTCTTGTTTTTAACTGCTTGTACAGGTCTATGGCTCTCTGTTCCCTTTAAAAAGAAGAAAATTATTCATACATGGATCAACAAGCAGGTGACTCAAGAAAAAAAGCACTGCAACTAAGTTATGACTTGCTGAACACTGGAGCTGCCACCTTCCTCTATAGCTAGCATACAAGTATGACATTTGGAACACAGGGATGGTCTTTCTGTGATGGAAACCAACTCTTCCCTGAAAGCTCTCTCTCTTTTCCTCCAGATTATGCATTTTCTTCTCAGATAACCGTACCAATTAGAGATTATTTTCAGTTTCAAATTTTCATGTGGCTCAGCCGTGTTTTCTTTCTGTGGTATCCTTAATTATGAAACTTCATTTTTGTAACTATAGGTACTTCTGCACAGTCGCCCAAGAAATTCTTGTTCCTGTTCTGCATTTTTTGCCTGAATTTTATTGATAATCTGCAAATGGAAAGAGACAGCTGCATCACAAACAAGAGGACAGCATTTCTCTTCTTCCCATTAAATAAATGTTACTCCTTTCAACTATTTCAAAAGCAGCCAAACACTGAAGCTTCCACCCTTGAACAAATCTTCACCGTTTTAAATCAAAAGTCTGCCAGAAACAAGCAGCTGTTTAGCCAGTTCTAACTCTGCTTAGGGGCCTTCACCAGGCCTCTTCTTTCTCTTAGCTGCCCTTAGATCACCCCAATTATTTCTAGCGTGCCGTATAGTTATCCATCTTGAAACTCCTGCCTCAGCCAAGGATAGGGGTAGACGTGCTCTTTACTCCCACTGCACTGGGAAAAAGAGAACATTAGCATCTAGCACCATCAGGTAAATCTGAGACATCACCCAGGATCCACAGAATCATAGAATGGTTTAGGTTGGAAGGGACCTTGAAGATCATCTAGTCACACCCCTGCCCTGGGCAGGGACACCTCCCCCCAGCCCAGGTCGCTCAAAGCCCCATCCAACCTGGCCTTGAACACCTCCAGGGATGGGGCAGCCACAGCTTCTCGGGGCAACCTCTTCCAGTGCCTGACCACCACCACCAAATCAAAAAATTTCTTCCTAATATCTAATCTAAATCTCCCCTCTTCCAGTCTGAAGCCATTCCCCCTTGTCCTAGAACTACGTGCCCTTGTAAAAAGTCCTTCCCCAGCTCTCCTGGAGCCCCTTTAGGTACTGAAAGGCCGCTATAAGGTCTCCCCAGAGCCTTCTCTGCTCCAGGCTGAACAGCCCCAACTCTCTCAGCCTCTCCTCATAGCAGAGGTGCTCCAGCCCTCAGATCATCTTTGTGGCCGCCTCTGGCCCCGCTCCAACAGTTCCACGTCTTTCCTATGTTGGGGGCTCCAGAGCTGGAGGCAGTCCTGCAGGTGGGGTCTCAGCAGAGCGGAGTAGAGGGGCAGAATCACCTCCCTCACCCTGCTGGCCATACTACTTCCGACGCAGCCCAGGATACAGTTGGCATTGAGCTGTGATCACGTAATGTGTGTCTGGTGGCTGTGTACATCAAACCTTAAGCTACTGCTCTGCAGTATGCTTTGCCACAGCTCCAAAAACTAAAGAGCAGGAGACTCTATCTGCTCTCCACTTCACTCCTCGTTAACAGGAGTAGCTTTAGACCAGAATAATCAACAGCTTAGGGCACAGTTTAAGCACCTTGCTTTAAGCTGAAGCAGCCTTGGGTTTGCCACGGTCAAAGTGCTTAAAAATAATATTTTAGGAGGTGGGTTCATGATTAGCTTAAGCTGCTCTGAATGCAGGCTACTGCTGCAAGAGGTGGTTTCTCCATTCCACCATTTCCTCCCCTGAGCACCAGTTCTGCTGCTCCTGCAACTACACGTGGATGAAAAGCAACTCAGCTGATCTCGCTCTGCAAAGAGGGAGGCAGGAGAACATGCCAGGAACAGGCATGTTTCCTCCCAGAATATTCAGTCATTCAGAAGAGCTGTTATTAACAACAAATTTAGCAGCTATTCGATCTTGGTGGGTATTTGATCTCTCGCTTTTATAATTGCCACTTGTGCTCTCAGCAACAGCCCGAACTAAAATAATCGCTTCCGAGGTCGTCTTAAGATCAGTCACACCACTTAGCTCTTTCACATTTTAATACATTTTTTAAAAATAAAATATTCATGTCTCCAAATACTGAAGTATCCATGAGTTATTAATTATCCTTGCATTGAAAACACACTGAAGATATTTAACAGGATTTTACAATGATCTCATAATTTTCTCACTCAACACTATAAAATTCACTCTTCTCCAATGCAACAAGAAATCCTCTGCATTTTTCAGTTTAGACCAAGATATCTCTTAGGCCCATCCTCTTCTAAGATGAAGTTACATAGTCAGTGACAGAGAAGCATCCCGTCCTCCCTAGCTGCGTTTTCCATGTTTCCTCAGGTCTAGCCATTGTGCATTCTGCGTCATAGTGCTGTAAAGCGATCCTTAGAACTTCAAGAAGAATGAGGAACATAGAGCCACAAGTGGTGGGATCTTCCCTTTTACCAGCAAAGTGATCTGAAACCGATAGCAAATGACTCTGTACTCGCAAAAAGCAAGGAATGCATTTTGAAAGTGCTGATGGGTCCACCAATAGAGGGGAAAAAAAACCCCAAAAAACACCAAAAACCAACCCCCCCAACACCAAAATACACAAAATCCATTTACGTGCAATAAAAAAAATCAATAAATAAAAAAAATCAATCAGCAAAGGACTTACAAGCTCTCCATGACCTCTCCTTGGCGCCTTGCATATGGACTCTTCTGAAGCTCTACAATCTCCGTGTGCAAAGCCATGATCTGCTCATCCAGATATCCTATATCTTCAGCCTAATGGGAAAATGTAGTGACAAATCAAACTGAAAGAGGAGGGCGATAAAGTCCAGAATACTTGTTTGGATAATGGGCTGACTCCATGCAGAGTTTAGGAGAAAGCAGCTCTTTAACATGACTGCTGCTACAGTAATTGAGATTACTGTTATTATCTCAGTGCGTGATATCACCTAGATCCAAACCTCCACCAACCACACTGGATGAGAAAAATCAGCTTCTTTAGAAATCCCCCCTCCGAGATGCACGCTGCGTGCGCACATGCGCGCACACACTCTCTCTCTCTCTCTCTCTCTGGCGCTAGCAGCAAATATTTTTTTTTTTTTCTCCTACTTTTACAGTATGGACAGAGGGCGCTCTCACATTTTACCTGCCTGCATCCATTTTGGTTTGACGTTTCTCCATTTCTCACAGCTTCCTCAACGCAATACAAAAGATACCAATCTTATGCCAAGCCCCGGCATTTCAGTTAGGTGAGGCAGCCAACAATGACGTTTCTAAGCATGAGGATTGGGTATGTGGTGCCAGACATGCACTGGAGATGCCCAGCACGGTTAAGAAAGCACTGGTCATCGTAATAGGTCTTAGCGCCACGGATTGTGAGCACACATCTGCCTTCCCGAGAAAGTATCTGGAGGTATTTCAGCTTTTCCTTTCTGACCTGGGGCTGTAGGACCTGCAAACTGAACATTTTCCTTCGCTGAAACTGCAGACGCACTTGGTACAGGGCTATATAAATGGGACGTGACCCCTTGACCAGAAAAGGATGTTTGTAGGTCTTGCGGGTAAAGAGTAAAACAAGACGACATAGAAGCAGCGAGAAGCCACGTAATCAAAGGAGAATCAGATCATGAGAAAAACGTGAAGTAAACCCTGTTATCAAGAGAAATGTCTTTTTCTGGAGCACTGTGACTCACCATACAGTATAACCGTGTCTCTCGAATTCACAGAAGTTAAGCTGCCCGCTAGAGAGACTGAGATACCACTGCGCATTACAGAGTAAAACATCTTCCGTTCTTGATAAAGGGACAGTGTGACTATACATGTGGACTGCACAACTTGAAGACAGAACATAGTCCTGATGGTCTGCAAAGTAAGTATTGGTTGAGGTTCCTGGTTTCCTGGAAACAGCCTGTGACAGCTTTGAGTTATACAGCTAGAAGAAGCCTCCCTTTTATCTTTGTTGCTTCCTAACAGGGAGCAACAAGATCCCAAAATTGAAAGAGCTACACAGAGGGGTACTCAGGTGGGAATCCCAACTGCCCTATCTCCATCACATGAGCAAGAAGAATCAAGGCTCCAAGAATCACAGAATGGCCAGGGTTGGAAGGGACCTCTGGAGATCATCTAGTCCAAACCAGAAGGAACCTTTTGACTTAGATGAAGATAGGTAATGGATCCCAGAATCTGAACTACCCAGCCTACTCCTTCACAGGGGGGAAAAACCCCAGGCAATGTGATTCATTGTTTGTGTTTCTAATGGTGTATTCATCGCTGTGCTCTGTATTACTACAACAGCCAATACAAGAACTCCCTGCAGGGGAGAGCAGAAATGCGAGACATCAGCCCAGCAAACCCCATGACAGCCCTGGAGAGTAGAACACACGCTATCGGCACTCCTGCAGCTAGCTGCTGTCATGGACCACAACAAAGAGACTACATTTGGAGATATTTTAAAGACCTTCCCTCCGAGAAATATTACACATTACAAATGTGCTAATTCTTCCTTGCGTTCCTTCTGAATGCTCCCCTCTGAATGCCTCTCCTCTCCCCTCCCCAGCTTTATTCAGTACATCCAGTAGAAAAGAAGAAGAAATAGCTTTTGAAATAAGCTACGATTATTCTAACTCTGTCCCTAGTTTTCACAGCTGAAATCTTATTCTT